GAAAAAACAGCTGAGTGAAGCTAAATGGAGAGTAGGGACCAGTGTGATGCATGTACTCCAGGAGCACCTGGTTTACCAGTGGTACATCATACATCGGTGTCATTCGATATAACACAACCCCGTCACTCAAGGAAGTGGCACATTTCCCCACTGTGGCTAGATCTGGCCCTCTAGTCTGTAGCCTACACAAACAGCCATAGTTCAAAGAAGCTCAGTTTTCTGTTAAGGGAGTGGGTGCTCCTTTAATTACCATTCAGCACAATCTGAGGCCCTTTCAGTGCCACAGTCCAATTCATTTCAGCCAAACTCCCTGCATGTAGGAGAGCTGTTATCCTTTATCCATATGGTGATTTTGATTACCTTGAAGGGCGTGACTTGCCCCATGAATGATACAATAAGATGCTTAGTGTAGCTTGGTGGATATCAAATTCAGGATGAAGTAAGCATCGTTTCAGATGCAGACCATGGCTGAATGGATATTCAATTTTCGATTGTGCAGCACATGAACACAATTTTTACTTTAAACACTTCCAAGAAGATACCTTCCTTTAAACCCTATAATATACGTAATTACTATGATATGCTTTGCTGTCATGACTAGGCCTGTTTATGCTCCTGAGGTAGCTTGTTTAAATCTAGTCTGAGTATTGTCATATTACACTGCAGCATATAAAGAGCCTTTGAAACGCAGGTAAAGGTTAAAGCTGAAATGTCGCCAATGTAAGGAAGATAAGAGTAAGTCATGATTAGTAGAAACAATATCTGCATGATAATCGCGCAATGTTACCTTTAGTGAGCAAACTACGGACAATAAGGGCCAGATTTCACCCGCTAGTGGACTGCGCTCCAAATGTAGGCCAGCTGAAAGGCAAATGGAGTTGAGAGGGGCAACATCTCTGCCCCTCATGTAGCGTTGCATGCATACAACAGCCCCGAAGCTTTTTTCCCCATAACCCGGTACAAAAATCAAGGTATAAACATTAGTGTGCATTTTGATGCATCAGCATGCATTAGTAGGCTTAGCATTCATTTTGCGGGTAACCTGCAACTAGTAAATGCACAGGCAAAAAAGGTTTTACTGTCTGTAATGATATCTATAGAATTTCAATAGTTAACCTTGCTGTGAGTGATACATTTAAAGTCTATCTATGTTACCAAATATCAGTATTAAACATCAGATGCTAGTATGGTTTATTACGCACCAGCAAAATTGTAGTCCTTTTTGATAGCTCTTCACAAAGAATTAATCATGGGATTTCATCTAAGGGAAAGAAAATAAGCTAAGACTTTCAGTAGAACTTTCTGTAAGAGAAACGCCTATTGCAAAGGTATTTCTCAACTCATGGATGCAAAATTGAAGTGAATTATTCATTTGTAGCAAAGCCTTCAAATCAAAACAGTTCAGCATTCCATACGTACTAGCATCAGTGGATTGTGTGAACCAGAACACTATATTACAATAGCCTCATGATTTTTAGGCAGAAGGATATTTGAATAATATTTCAGTCTCTGCTTTTCCCTGGAAACTTCCTTACTTTCAACAGTCCTCCTGTACTTGCCAACAGTGACCTAACCCTGAAATTATTTTTACATTTGAACAGGGAACAAAATTAACTTTTAAGAAGATGTGTGGGCTATATCATTAGCAAGGAGTGGATCAGAGGGTTTGGATGTGTGTCTTGACTGGTGACTAGCAGCGTTCTTAGTCTTTGTGAAATCCTCCTGGCAGCCAGTGAAATAATAGTATTTTGCCCAGAAGAGCTACAAGAGCTGCATATTACTGTGACAATGTTTTGTCAAGTGATTGGATTCTGTTTTATATATTTCAAAAACTGCTTGGGCTGTGCTTTGTCATTAGTGTGTAAATAGTGTGTAAATATAATTTTTCAGGGTGGAAATGAGGCTTAAATGTGTACAGCACAACATGATTCTTAAAAAAGAAGCCTTAATGTAGAGGATACTCAGTTTTAAATGTCTGTACCATGTGCATTTACCTAAGTGTTTGTCTTCTTAGTACTGAAGAAATAAATAATTTCAGGGGAAAGGAAGGAGGAGAATTTCTTGCTGTAGTTTACAGGGCACATTTGTTAGACTTGAGAACTGCTCAGATATCTAGTCGACATAGTCCTATGAAGGCGCTTAGGTTTTGGCAGGTACATTCATCTGTGGAACAACACACGGAAAGAGACCCTGATGGTTTAGGAGGGTCAGTGGAGGTCTGAAGGTTAACCTAAGCCAAAGATCCTAAGGGAAATTATTGTTAATGAAAACCGACACATATATGCCCCTGACAGCTTTAGAAGAAAAACAAACATATATTTAATTTGAATCTCAAAAAGCTCGAATATTAAGCTGTGGAACAAACCCTGAACAAATTTTGCACAGAATAGCATTAGTTGCCAAGGAAAAATTAATTCACACACTTTTTATTCCTACTGCTCTGGTACCCAGTGGAACTGTTTTACATTTATCTGACCCCATGCAATTTCTTTCTTTCAAAACCATTACTTTTAATAAATTTTCATAAGGAACAATTTGGATTGTTGCCCAGCCATTGTCTAAAATCAAGCAAGAACAGAACCTCTAACATAATACTTGTATATACTATCCCCACATTGTGTGTGAATGCAAGAGCAGACCTCCTTTAGAAGCAATAAAAGTTATATCTACTTAATGAGCTCCAAATGGCATTTCTTGCACACTCAGACTTCCCACTGAAGTCTATGAGCTTTTGGGGTGTGAAAAATAAGCTTGGTAAATGTAACCAAGCTATGGGCACACATTTTGACTAAAACATGGCAGTCTCTACTGCGGAACTATTTTCTACGTATTACTATTACAGAACTATTTTACTATACTCTAACAACATGGATTTTTTTCAAAAATACACAGAGTTTTCTGGCATATGCTCCCACTGAACATGAACTAGATAGTGTTCTTACAAGCTCCTTAATGAGAAGTCTGTGTCTCTTATAACTAAGATGAGTTTTTATTATACTACCAGATAAGCTAAGATAGGAAGGAGCTTGAGAATGGGAGAGTTAGGTATATTTCTTTCCGTAGGTAGCTATGACAGAACTGACTCACTAATTAAAACAGGTTGAATGCTTCAGGGATGTTACAATTCAGTTCAGTCCATAAAGGATCAGATAGCCTTACAAGATGCCTATTATGTTGCTCAATGTGCCTTTGCAGATCTCAGACACATTAAACAAAGTATGTTGCTGATAAAAGTCTATGGCAGTCAGAATGCTTGTTTTCATAAGGAAGGTAAGAACTGTTGAGTGTAATGTCTGTACAAGCTGAGATTCTGCCTGTAATCAGCATAATGTCGGTGACTGGCGGCAGCATCTTAAATGACTGGGAGCTACACAGTGTTTGTTCATCACGGTCTGTGCTAGGTGGGAACACTGTTGCTAATATTTGTATCACTAGGATGTCCGGAGACCTATTCTAATATTAGGAGTCCCTGTTGTTGTCCTTATCCCAAAGAATTTATTTTTTCAGTAGACTTATCACTAGAAAGACATGAGAAAAGTAGAATTATTATGTCTATTTTAGAGCTATAAATGGAAGCAGAGAGAGTTTAAAGGTTTTCTGGAGCTGATTTTAGATAAGATTTGTTTTTCACAAGAAGAATAATGAACTAACTATTGGAGGAGCTTACTAAGGTTCAACCTTTCATTTAAAAGAGACATTTTAGTTACAGCAAGATTTGGGTTGTGGAAATCTAAAGAATACTGAAGGGAGGCATGCTAACAAACTTCAAATATGAAAAGTAAATGTAGCTGCAAGGTGGAAAACAGGTCAATGTTTTTCTGTATCTGGAAGAACAGAATGGATTGCGTTTAAATTACAGCAACAAAGGTTCAGGGGAAACTTTCTAGCACTGAAAAAGATTGAGCAGAAAGGTACCAGAAACTGAAGGTTTATGAGAAGAGGTTACATAAGCATCTATTAAAAGTGATTTAGGGATTCTTGGGGCAGGATGATGGACTGCATGGCCCCTTGATGTTCCTCCTAATGCTGTCTTCCCACCCTCCAGTGGCCTGTGTTATAACGGAGGTCAAACAATATGACTATAGTTATCCCGTTATAGCATCATCATCTTTGTATCTGTAAGGATCCAAAGGAAATCTGTGGCACTGCTGGGAACTGTCAGGGCTCTGAATTCCAGTCCAGTAACTTGACCACAGAAATTGCTGCCTACTTTATTCAGTGCAGTAGTGACTCTCTTGTTCAAAAAAAAAAAAAGAAAGAAAGAAAAAAAAAGTTCTAACACCTTTAAAATGGAACTTAAACTAAAATATAGTGCCTACATTCACAATTATAATTCTGAATACTCCTATTCAGCTGCTGACTAGCTCTCCATGCACTTCCATTTCACTTGGCTTCTTTCTTTTTATCTTAAGGTTCTAAATGTGCTTCCCCTGACTTACTTGATTTTAGTGTCCTAAAAGGCTGCTGGTGAACATGCCCTGAAATGACCACAGAGTCCATTTGACACCTAAGTCCAACTGAAATTCTGAAGCAAAGTACTTCTGTCCTTTTTCTGGAAAGGCCAGGATCCCTGTGAGTAGCAAAAATTTACAGGACTAGACACATCACAAAATGCACTCATGCCTAATTCTAACTGTAAAGGGATGGTTGTAATGTATGCTGACTTTGTTTATTTGTTTATTTGTTTTTGGTAATTATTGGGTTTATTATTGAAGCTGCAGCAAAGAAAGAAGGGAT